ATGACTGTGGCAGCATCCCCATGGTCACGTGATCAAAATTCAGATGCTTAGCAACTGACTCAGTGTCCCGGGGGGGTCATGTGATCCCCTTTTGTGACCTTCTGACAAGCAAAGTCAATCGGGAATCCAGATTCACTTAATAACCGCGGTAAGAAGGGTCGTAAAATGAGGTAAACTCACTTAACAAATGTTTCCCTTAGCAACATAGATTTTGGGCTCAGTTGTGGTCATAACTCAAGGACTACCTGTCTTTTATATCATTTTCAATAAGGATCAAACAGGGAAACATTAATCAACCCAAATAAGTGGCCTAAACTTTCATTCAGAAAAAATTCCTCATTAGAATAATGTTGAATAAAAAGTTTCCTATATCGTACAGGGCAGGAGTAGGGGACCTTGGTTCTTTTATGACTTGTGGACTTCCAAATCCCAGATATTATTATTATTGTTATTATTATTATTATTATTAGTGTTGTTGTTCAAACGTTTGCCAGTCTTGGCAGTAGGAGAGCTCCTTACCAAATTTTTTACACTTGTAAAGACAATCCTGTAGAGTGCGAAAGTTATTTCTATTGCCACCACAACCTCCATAAATGAAGTTCAGACATATTCTTTTGTCAACATCATAGTAAACCCTTTCCAATGTTTTTCCACATTTTCCTCTCTTTGGTGGTAATTTGCATCTCCTCGGTAGCTGTCCTGGAAGGTATTTGAAAAACGGAAGAACAAAGATATTGCAGAGACTTTAATCTTTGCAGACCATGAACTGAAGATGTACTTTATGCCCTTTAAACTTAATTTTGAAAAGAGAAACAAAATTATTTGATGTCTTGTTTGTAAAATGGCAGCCAAATAGCTGACCTACACTCCATGTGTTAGCGGTTAGCAAAAGGCAGGCTTCATTCAGTTCTTGAATTTATTTATTTAGTTTTTTCATGGAACTGTTAACTTACCAAGAGCTCCGGTTTTACACAATGCACTAAACAACGGGCTACATAACTATAATACTAAGATAGCACTGGATAAATGATAAAAAGATATTTAGTTCATCACTGACCTGATTAAACATGCAAGACAACTTCTTGCCAGCCTTCCCTTGACTTCCGAAGTACATTCTCAATGCCCCAAAATGAACAATAAATGAAACATAAAATAAAATCACCGCACGACGTTAGCTCTAATTCTCATTCCTCTGCAAGTCTTCCCTTTTGCAGCTGTTGCCTAACATCCAAGATACAGAAGCGGTTGCACCGGGGATGACAAGGTGGCTAAGAGGGAGAACGTTACCTGAAAGTCTTACCTTTCTTCAGGCAGCCAGTTGTGACAAATTGTAGGATCACCAGAATGCAGATGGGCCCCCAAACCTGCATGGCAATTTGCCCCATTAAAGTATTTCTTTCTAAGTGAAACCCACTTTATGTCAGAACTTAAGGGAGAGAAAACCAGCCACTTGGAGAGAGTTGATGAGGTTTTGATTGTTCTTTTGTGAGCCTGCTCTGCTTTAGCTGAAGTTCTCTTCCTGTATTGGAATAAAATATGATTGCTTTTCAGGCAGGGACACGGTGAAATCGTAGAGTGAACCTTGGGTAGTCAAGCATTCACCTCTTGAGCATACCATTTGATTGATCGATTGATTTGATTTATATGCCACCCATCTCATCCTACGAAACAATTAGAGCAGAGGTCCCCAACCTTTTGGGCACCAGGGACCGGTTCCGTGGAGAAAGGTTTTTCCATGGACCAGAGAGTGTGTGGTTTTGTGTGCTGCCTGCATTCCACGGATGGGGCTTTGCTTGTTTGTGCAGACCGGTTGCTGGCATGCTGCGGCCCGGTACTGGTCCACGGACCGGGGGTTGGGGACCTCTGAATTAGAGGCTTCCTTGGTAAGAGGCAGGCAGAATTTTGGGATCCTTTGGGAATTTTGAAGAACAATAGAGAGCTGCTATCACAAAATAGTGGTCATGGAGGAGCCTGGCCGGTTGCAGAACCTTCTGATGAAAAATGGCTCAGGTTATTTTGCCCATCTTGCTTTGGTTCCCCCAATGAGTAGATAATCGGCTCAGCCAAAGCAGAATATCCAGATTCAGCCACAGTTTTGTTCCATAGAGCATCAACCTTGTGAACTGTCAAGTTTCTTCTTTCCGCTATGTGTTCAAAATGGACAGAGATTAATATTTATATGTATAT